GTTATCACAGGTCCAGTTCACTCTGACCTCCAGCAGCCTGCCGGTTCTGTTCTGGTTCTGTTCAGGTTGATCCGAGTCTCTCTGGGACTCGTTGGCTCAGATGTTAACCTGTGGCGCCTCCTGCTGGAGCAGCCAGGCTCTGACCTGCAGCAGGTTTTCTGATCTTCATGATTTTGTTTCAAACTTGACAGACGAACATGTTGCTCTGCTGAGTTCGCGTTGAGCACCAGGGGGCGCTGAAGGCTGACGAAGGGAGAATTTGTAAAAATCTACTAAACTAATATTTTCTAGGTCTGAGTTTCTGTTTAAACATGCAGGTCTTCCTCTAGGGGGAGCTGCTTGTTTCTCCACTGCAGGTTCTGGTTCTGACCCGTCTCTGTTCCTCTGCAGTTTCCGGCCAACGGCAGCAACCAGATCCACATCCCGGCGCTGAGCGTGGACGGACTCTCCACCCCGGTGGTTCTGTCCCCGGGCCCCCAGAAGCCCTGATCCCGACCCGAAGACTCCCTTTGGACCGAATCCTGAGGCGCTTGTGCAGCGCCACCTGCTGGAGACCCAGACGATGAAGATGATGATGCCAGGTGGACGGCCTTCATCCTCATTAAAGCCCTTGTCTTTGTCAGAATGATGGGGGACGACGCCGGGAACCCAAAGCATCCGGAACCGACCGGAACCAGAAACTGAAGCCGGGCCGAGGTTGACTGACTTCTCTGTAACCATGGCAACGCTCATCTGCACCGCACCGGTCTGAGAACCGGGAGGAAAGGTCGGCGCAGCCAGAACTCTGGGTTTCTGTTTATTTATGCTGCAGACCTTCCTGATCCGACTTGGGTCGGATTAAAGATCCGTTTTACAGACCGAGCTCTGCTCTGATTGGCCGCGCTGAAGGCCATGCCTTCCCTGCAACAGACCAATCGCAGAACAGCGTCTACTTCCTCCCTGCAGGGGGCGCTCACATTCCTCTGCCTGGATTTCAGATCTAAACTCAAACCTGTAAATATTGTCACAGGTCGGTTCTGTTGAGGTGGGTTTGATCAGAACCGCTGAACTGGTTCTGGTTGCCATGGTAACTTCTTGATCCACAATGGATCTTTGCTAAAACTGATGTTTTTGGACCAGAACCTGAGTGCTTAGTCTGGATTGTTCCGGATCAGAACCTCAAACCCAGCTGCTGTAGAGCGGTTCCGACGGTCTTTAAGGGTTCCAGTTTCAGGAGTATCGGACCGTTTCCGTCCAGAGAACGTCGAACTAACTCTGATCTACCGCCTGCTGTGGTTCTGACCGGATCGGATTCAGGAAGTTTCTGAGCTGGAAGCTGGAAAATCTGATTCCAAGAGGAAAAATGAAATTCAATCTTTGTTTATAAAAGAAAAAATGTTTGAGTCGGAGTAAAAATGGACGAAATGCTGAACGGCTCTGAACGCTCAGCGAGCCGCAGGGGCTCTTTACTGAGGATGATGATGGAGATGGGGGGTCACATCTTCGCACCATGCTGAGGTTCTCCAGTTTGGAGAAGAAACCGCCTGACTGTTGTAGGCTGTGGTTGCCACGGTAACCTGACATGACTGTTGCCTTCATAGTGTTTCTGTGAGTCGCTGAGGCTGCTGCAGTCTGACCGTCACTGAGGTCAGATCCACCTGGACTGGACCCGCTCCCCACACAGCATCTGTCCTTTGACCTTTAAGGGAAAGGTCAGACTGAGCACCGGTCCAATCAGTGAGCAGGATACGCGCAGCATCCTCTGAACGCACTATCCTGCATGCTCAGACGGTATCCTTGTATGTATCTGACCTCTGACCTCTGACCTTGCCCCGACACTCCAACTTGGACGGACTCTCATACCAGAATTGGTCTTGGATTTGGACACAGCCGGGTCACAGACGCCACGTTTGGACCTTCAATCCTTCAGACTCGGACCATCAGAACCTGTTGCTGTTCAGAAACTTGGGTCCTTATGAGGAACCGGGTTCGGTTCCTTTGGCCCGAGTTCTGGTGCCGCCTGTGTCCTGATGATGGAGTTTCCCAGCCTCAGCGGGTCCCTGAATGCAGCATGACTCTATTTTTCTACCAGAGATCCGAGTTTATTTTGTTCTCAAAGTCGCCTTAAAGATCCTGAGCAGCAGGAAGGAGGTTCTGGAAGATTCTGTCCGACCAAGAAGCCATTTTTGTGGACCAGAACATTTCTCTCACCAGCAGAACCTGAAGAATGTCTCCACACCGATAACTCAGCACCCCCTCCTGCTGCTCCATGTGGTTCTGTTTGATGGAACTGGACCCGACTTCTGAAGGTATCTGCAGAACCTGAAGCTCCATTCAGACCCGACCCGTTTAGCTCCATCTGTCTGATGTTCTTCTCTGCTGAAGCTGAAGGAGAACCTGGCAGGTATTTGCTGAGCAGAACCTAAAAGTCTGGTTTTGACTTGAGGAGGTCTGATGGAGGCTTCAGCAGAACCTCAAAGTCTCTGTTTACCCGGTTCCCTTGGGCCAGAACATCCTGAGTTCCTGTCCCATGATGGGGTTTAAAAGCCCCACGAACCGTCTGACGACACTAAAGTCTATAAATGTGACACCGCCATCAGGCGGTCCCTGGCTCCGCCTCCCGTGGGTCAGGCGGTCCCTGGCTCCGCCTCCCGTGGGTCAGGCGGTCCCTGGCTCCGCCTCCCGTGGGTCAGGCGGTCCCTGGCTCCGCCTCTTGGTGTCACTGATGTTCTGGAGTTTTCTTTCTGACCTGCTGATCTTTTCTTTTATTACTTCACTGTGGTGGGCGGAGCTAAAACCATATTTGTATTATGTCCCATGATGCTTTGCAGACAGGAAGCTCCAGAACGTTCTCTGTACATACATGATGCTCCTGATCACATGACTGTTTAACCTGTACTATGTGACTGGGCTGACCAATGAAATGTTTCTGTCGTCACTCCTCAAGGCATGGCCCCGCCCCTCCTCGGCTGCCATTGGCTGGAGGGTTGATTGATGTAAGGGGGCGGGGTCTGCGTTTATTTTTCTGGGTCTGACGACAAACTTTAAATCAGAAGATATTTTTATTTGATGTAAACGTTGTTTTCTACAATCGCATCAGGAAATAAAGATTCATCCGAGTCTCTGCGAGTCTCTCCTCGTTCTTCAGGTCCACATCTCAGCTTTCAGAACCATCATCCAGAGCCGAACCGAGTCGCAGAACCCTGGACTTTACCCAACCCCGTTATCATCTTGCTCCAGTTTAACTTTGAGTTTTTCCAGATTTCCTCCAGAATATTGAGATCAGACTGATGATGGTTCTGACCCGGTGAGACCTCCAGAACCTTCTGGGTTTATCCAATCAGGTCTTTGACTCTTGGTTCCTGACCAATAAGAGCAGATGCCCTCTCTTATTTTTCTCTGATTGGTTCTGGAGCAACTGGACCTGGAGGTTCTAACCCACACAGCAGCCTTAAGCCCATTGGTCAGAACCAGAACCTCACTTTGGTTCTGATCACCTCTCGTTCTGTTCCAGCAGTTAGCAGCAGGTCTGGACCGTTCACAACCAGGAGGACTCTGGTTCTGACTGCTGGTGCGGATGAGTTCTGGATGATCCGAACTGGTCCAGGCCCAAACATCTGGACCAGAACCTGAAGGTAGTTCTGGAGTTTTCTCTCATTTGTGTTGAAATATAGATATACATAAAACTATGTTGTTAGTTTTGGGGACCTTACTTTTCTTAAGTCCTACAAATTAAGTATCATATAATGTTGGCCAAAATGTCAGCATCCTGTTGCTACTCGGCATCACAATGTGAAATGTCATCTTTTCTATCCAGTCCTAAAATAATTATTTCACAATTCTGTTTGCTAGTCAGGCCTCTAGTTGTGCCAAAGCAATTTAATGTTCTGTGGCTTTTGATACGACTGTTTTGCCGTTTACATGGACACTACATATGCAGAGAAAATTACAACAAAAGGAAATGCATCCGCACCACTGAGTGCCTGCTATCGGCAAACAATGAAGTAAGAACTTTGCTTCCAAATACATTCGCCGTGTAGTGGAAACGTAATAATAAAAACCAAGATTAAAAACTGTCAGGTTGGGAAAAAAAAGCTTTTTCTTCTTCAGAATGAGGAAAAGCTTTAGATAATAAACATGCGCCTAATCACTGGGCCCAAATTTATTTCTCTTCAAAGCAGTAGTGATTGCAAACATTTTTTTACCACAGTCCAGTTTCTGTCTGTCTGCATGTGGTTCCTCATTGGTGCTCTGAATGCAGTCAGCTTCTGACACCTGAGGATGAAACGCATCGTGTCTTTCAGCTGCATGTCTTCCCACTTATGTTGAGGGTTACCTCGGTTAGCTTCGAAGAAAAGATAACAGGACTCAATATACTGCTTAAAACATTTCAGATATTAAATCAATGACATATAAAAGAATTTAAGAACATCTTTCGTTTCGACTGACTCTCTGCAGAGTATTTCTGAGTCGGTTAGTGTAGCATTTCTGCCGGATTTTCACAAAATATCAGCCACGACAATGAACAGGGGAACCAACAAGTTCATGTCATCTTTTATGGACGACATCAAGGTGTTTGAGCCACGTGATCCCTCCAACATTGTCGCAGATAAATGCTACTGGTTGATGAGGAAAACAGCAGATCCTCACACCCTCAGCATAAATATAGCTGTGGACAAGATCACTGATGCCTATTGTTCTTGCAATAGGCAAGTTTTGCAAGGCTGGGTAAGTCGGGCATTCATGGTTTTGAGGGTTACTTTTGAAATCAGTGATTTCTGTTGTTGGCACATGTTTGAGTGTACCTAGGCCTGACACACAGTACTCGGTGCTAG